TGCGCTCTTGCGTTCAAATGTTGCGCAGTAAGGTAGTAATACAGCTTACGAGGTTATCACCCGTCATCTTGAAAAGAGTGGAAGGGAGATCATCTGATCCTGCTGCCTTTCCTCGATTCAGAGTCTGAATGCAAGACCGAACTCCTGCAGCGCACGACACTGCCCAAGGAGCTTCAGTTGCGGATGAGGCAACCTGGTTAGCGGTAGGCCAGCTGAACTGTTCGCTGAAGTATTCAGCCCAGTGATCAAGTCGTTCATCTCCATGGTAAACAGCCTGTCCCCCCCCTTATCAGACTGTTTCACCAACCGTGGTTCGCGACTTCCTGTATTGCGAATCAGTCGCAACAGTCTTTGATAATCCCCCGATGCAGTTGCTACCCCCATTTCACTAGCTATTGTTGCACACCAGTTCTCGCGGTCCTTCTCGAGGCTCCTCGTAAGCTGACGTTGTAGATGTCACCTAACTCTGTTGTGACCCTGGCAGATCGAGATTTGTCGTTTTTAACCATCAAAACTACTGAGTCCTGAGATATTCAATGCCTCCGACGGGCTTGAGGCTCAGACTAACGAGAAAAATTCGCTGCCGAATGCATTGCGCGTCTAATCTGATCACACTGCTCATCTACATCACCATGTTGAGGCGCACTTAGCCCACGCACTAGTTCTGATTCATAGCGTACACGAATTGCTGGAACAAATAGCCGATGATAAACTATCCGAGTTTGCTGAATAGGCCAGTCGACGAGAACTGCATCAAAACTAATGGATGGTATAACTTCACGCAGATGGTCCAGTAGGACCAGCAATTTCGCACTGAGCATACTGCTATGTGATCGATTTAAGGTACCGTATCGGTTGAACTGGAGCGCCACGTTGCCGTCCGTGGAGAGCTGTCAGAAGTCGGTGTTGGATAGGAACATAGGATGGTCTGCACAGAACTGAAGAAGTCTATCGCCGTTATCTGTTAGTTGGCTAGGCAGAGCACAACTACCGCCTAGGCAAGCTTCCGATGCGCCCAGTTTTCCAACCTGCGCGTTGAAGTCACCTGCGAGTACAACTATGTCGGAGCTTCGACTCATCCGAATGAGATCGGTGAGTTTGTCGTGGAAATCGTCTTTTTGTGTATCAGAACTGCTACTGGTCGGCGCATACGCCAACATAATGAACAAACAACTTTTGGTGTTGCTTCCCTTCCGGACGCTGATTGAACCCTGGAAACACACTGCACATAAACGACTCTTGACGGGGATCCAATCCATAAAAGAGGACTCCGCCCTGTTGCTGAGTACAACACCGACTCCGTGCCGGCCTACTAAATCTGGCGCGCTCAAGTGGCTTATAGTAGTAGGATCCTGTATTCGAGTCTTGGACATGCAGCAAATATCAATTCCATTGTACGCGCCAAACATCGCTCGCCGTAGAAACATATTTGTTGACATGCGTAACACATACCCCAACCAACGTAATCTATGGAGGTCGACCACGGCTTTAGATAGCCGTCTAACCTCAGCATTGCTTGTCCGGCTACCCCACCAGATTCGTGCAGCGCTGCGTAGACAGCGATGTTCAAACATCGACATTCTACCTCTATTCTGTTTTCTTAATGGCCAATTTTCTGTTCCGTATAGCAGAACTGGCCGAACTGCCGCGGCATACACTAGACCCCTCACAGACAGCAGGATGTCGCGACGGTGTGAAAGGTGTCCCAAGTTGGCAAATGCCAATTGAGCCTTCTGTATGCGAGCTGGTACTTTATCAGTGATGCGTCTACCGAGTGAGATGTAGCTGCTCAAATAACAAAACTTATCCACTTGCTCTATTACTTCCCCAGTTAGAGTGAGTTTGGGTGCTGGACCAACCCAGTCTTGTAGTAACATTTCACACTGTAAAGGTGCAAAACGCATACAGAACATGGCTACACTAGCACTCAAACTAGTAACTGTGGGTTAAATACGAACATCCAGAAAAGCTTGCTAATGACCTGGATCTTCACTTAGTAACACAATGTCGTCTGCATACTCCAGATCAGACAGTGATACGGCCGGGTGTCGTAAATGCCTCCGAAATCCTCAGTATGGTCGGGGGTGGGTGTCTAGGGTTCCAGCTGATAGCTCTTCCCATATACATACATACATACATACATACATACATACATACATAC